TAAGAAGTTAATTTTCAAAAGTTCTTAGATTACAACATAGATAGAAGCAAGATGGATTTAATGACCATTGGTGTAAAATGTTACAATAGGAGAGTCTTAGGATATGATGGTGATGCATTGATTAAAGCTCATGATCCTACTGCTCTATGCTCTTACTGTTTAAAAGGAGGTCACAACCAAAGAACTTGTCTTATAAGAAAAATATGGAAAGACATGAAGCCTCTCATAACTAACCAAATATGAACAAAAAAAATTTATACTTAAAAAGCATTATTTATATTATAGATTTGTTTAGAAACAAATTTGAAACAATGTCCTGGTACTTAGACAATGGATGCTCACGAGACATGATGGTAAAAGGCTTATGTTCCAAGGCCTCAAGATGAAGGACGAAGGAAATATTCATTTTAGAGGAAACGATGATTGCATAATCATAGATCTAAAATAGTAGGTGTTTCTTATCTTTCTTATATTAATATGTGCATTATTAATATACCTCTAAAACAGTTGGGAAATGTATGCAAACCATGATCGTTTTGCATAGAATTCACAAATTCTCTAGGTTCCATACGAAATAGTTTGAACTCCTTTGTAAACATATTGGCATTAGAATCCTTGACGTCATATGTTCCCTCGTAGAGATTTTGAAGAGAGTTCCACATACCTTTAGCACTCGTGTGATGTGAAATTGAGTAGAATACTTTCGCGGTTAAAGTAAAGATAAATATGTTCCTTGCTTTCAAATCATATGAAGCCTTTTTGGTTTCATCACCCGCCCAATCTTTTGGATGTTTAATAACTTTATCAACACCCTTAAGGATATATGGTCCTTCAGTTATGACACACCATTGATTTTTATCAACTGATAGTAAGTGTAGATACATGTTCGCTTTCTAATAAGTATAATTTTCTCATTTAAAATAGGTGCTCTATTATACACTCTCTTTGGATCATCATCGTCTGCCATATTCTCAAACTTTTAGAGTCGATTAGACTTAATAAAAAAGTAACTCTTGATGCCAATTGTTGGGTGAGAATATGGAGTAGGAAAACAACCTAGATGGGGGTATATAAACACAAAAAAAACTTTGACTGATTTTTCAGAAATAGAATATTATAGGTTTTTCAAAATTACGCGCGGAAGGTTTTAAATAAAAAATATGAAGATTATACTTTTATTAGAACTTGATCACGTTACTAAATCAATTCACAAATACCAAAGATGGTTTTATGATGATACACAAAAGATAATCAATTAATTTGGTTGTATACTTCACGAGGTGTGTTTATACAATAATTCAATATCAATGAATTATAACCTCAACATTTTCTTAGAGTTTAATCACCATTAAACCTCAATTAGGCACAAATTCTAACAAAACCTAACCTTACATAATAAATCGCACAAATTGAATAAACGATAGACAACGATAAGAATTGAAAAACCTAAACATGCAATATCCTACAAAAATTAAATGCGAGAGTGAGAGATATAGTACACAATGATTTATAGTGCTTAAGTGTTGGTCCTCACTTTGCCTACCGCACTCTTCAATGGTTTCCCATTGTAACCTGCTTGTTCCTTTTTATTTTGACAAATATTGCAAGAGTTTATACAATCACTGATCCATAATAATGATAAGAAAAATAAATCTTCTATCCGGATCTTGACTTGTATACAACATAATGTCAAACTCTTATGCATAATCTTTACTCGATTCATGCTTCTTGATCCTACCGATTCCTTGAGTTATTAACTATCTGAGGATTTGAGAAGAACCTCACTTTGTCTGTAGCCTTCCACACAGTTACTACCAAGGTAATCTATAGAGAAGAATCTCATTCTTTTCACTAGAATTTGTTAATACCAATGACAACAATCTCAATCTTGCAAAGTACTAGAAAATATTAACCAAATCTTCAAGAATGATTATTTGAACTTTCAAAAGAGAATGTTGATTTCACATAATCACAAGGCAAAAAATGTTGTAAAGTTATGTACAATTGTGTTTGCATAATGACGACAAAAAGATTTTATATGTGCTTGCGATTAAGCACAAAAATGAATGGAAAAAAGTTAGTTATATTCAAGTTAAGAACATTTCATGATTTAAGTCAAATGAGCAAGTGATGTAGAACAAGAAAGCAAAAGGAATTTGACCCATTTCTCAGATAATTCGAATCAAGAACAAAGTTAAACTCAACTCAGAAATCCTGTGATTCGAATCAAGTGTAAATACTGATTCAAATCAATTTAAACAAAGCCAGAAGAGAAATATAGAAAAATTATATGATTTGAGTTAGGTGTAAAGTTTGATTCGAATCAAATCAAGTAAAGGTGACCCAGATTATTTTGATTTGAATCAAGTGTAAAGTATGATTCGAATCACAGAGATGCTTTATTCAAATCAAGTTAAAAGTCTAATTTAAACCAGAGTGCTTGATAATTTTTGGTTTACCTCTATTCAATTTTATTCGAGTCAGGATATGTACATGATTCGAATCATGCACACAAAATCTTAAATATTTTTTTCGTTATTTTAAGGTACTTTGAGATTTTTCTTTCCATCAAACTTAAATCAACAACACACTTGATTCTTATTCCAATGACTCATGCAGTTGACTAAAAACATCATGGTCAAGGTCAAATATAACCATTTGTTTATGCATGCTAAAAATAAATCGATTCAAACATAATTCAAAGATGATGTGTAATTATGAAGGAGACTCAATAAATAAAAGTAGATGAAAACAAAATTGATAAAACAAGCAACAAAACCACTGTATTGGGGTTCTCCCTCTGAATGTGTTAAGAACATGCAATTCTAGTCTCCCCCTAGAAATATGCAGCTTCATCTTGAAGAAAGTTAGTAGCAATTTCTAACCATTTAAATATCTCAGACCAAATAGTCTTCAAGAAAGAACAATTATAGAATACATGAGATATAAATTCTCTTTCTTCACGCCCAAAAGGACAATTATCTCTACTTTCCCTTAACATCATAATCTTTTGTTGGCAACTTGTTTTGCAACAATCACCATAAAAACACCGAAATATTACCATGGAAAATTTTGTTTCATATCAAATTACTAAAGGGAAAAAAATCATTCTCTTCTAGTAGAACCTTGTATGCATCTTTCACTACACGTTCTAAATTATCTAAAAACCAATTTTCTCTTACTCCCCACCCATTTATATCAAGGGAAGCCAAAACCCTCCGCTAAATGGATCCTTTTCTTTTTTTCTAAAAATTCTCTCTATTGAAGTCTCGGTCTGTTTGAGAGTTTTTTTTGGAAAGGTTTGGGAGAGAAATGCTTTGAAAGGTTGCGTCTATATCTTGAAATGTGTTTGGTATTTTTAAAATTTTGAAAAAAAGATATGATTTTCTATGCTAATGTAGTACATTATTTTTATTTTTTTAAATATCAAACACATTTCAAGATATAGACACAATTCTCCAAAGCCTCCCCCTCCAAAAACCAACTCCCAAACTGACCATAAGGAAGGAACTACCATATTTGTATGATAATATTTTGCATCATAATCCATTATTTTCCTATTTAAATCTCCACAACCATTTCCCAACTAGATGCATGACTTTTTTGGGTTCTTAAACCCAAACCCCCTAACACTTACATTTCTACAAATCTTGTTACAACTAACCCAATTAATCTTTTTATCTACCTCACTCTCATCTCAAAGAAATTGTTTAAAAATATAATCAATTCTATAGATGATATCCGATGGAGTTTTAAAGAAGGATAGAAAGCAATCTGGTAGAACAAATAAGACTGATTTTATAAGAACAACTCTCTCTCCAATATATAAGTTCTTATTAGCCCAACTAGATAACCTTTTGCGCAGTGCATCAACCATATGTTTCCAAGTAGATAATAGTTTATCGTTGCCCCAATTGAAAGTCCTAAGTATTTGAAAGGCGTTTTCCCATCTTGTAATTCAAGTTATCCGCTGCCACATGTAACTAATTTAACGTAACATTCATTTCCACGAAAAGAGTTTTATGAAAATTCACTTTTAGTCAGAAATTAACTCAAATAATTTTAGAACAAATTATATTGTTCTCACATTCTCCCTACTCCTTTCATCTATAATCAAAATATCATCAACAAGTTGGATATGAGACACTTGAATGTTACTTCCTTCAAATTTAAAAGCTTTGAAATTTTCCACTTCAACCACTTTCTGTTGATCCCCCTACTACTATTATGAACGAAAATGATGAGAACGGGTCTCCCTGTCTAAGACCTCTAAATATCTTAAACTCTTTAGTAGAACTATCATTAACAAGGATCAAAACACTTACATATTACAAACAGATATTTATCTATCCTTTTCATTTTTTGTGGAATCCCATTTTTATCGTCACAAAGCCTTTTAGAAAACAACTCTTCAAAATTTCCATTTTTTTTCATTGAACTTCGTCTACTTATTTCATTTGCAACCAAAATGCCATCCAAAATTTGCCTCCACCTACGAAAGGAGATTGGGCAAACCAAATGTTAATTCTTTCAAGTAAGGGTGTTCAAAAAAATCATCAACTGAACCAAACTGCCAAACTGAATTGAACGGAAGTTAAAATAACCGAACGGTTATATTTGATTAATGAATCAAACTATATTGCATAAAACGATTCTAAAACCGAACCAAAATTGAAAATAAAAAATACTAAAAATAAGTTTTAATTTTTTTTTTAAATTGAAAAATAATTTAATGGTTCGGTTCTTTAATAAATGATTCAATTTCAAAAAATTATCTTCTAACGCTTCGGTACGGTTTGAAATTTCTAAATAATATATTAAATCAATTATTTTAATTCGATTCAATTATTAGTAAATTAAAACAGTTTTATTCAATAAATTTTTATTATAATTCAATTCGATTCGGTTTTATCGTTGAACTGAAAAACCCAAGTTTCAAATATTGATTGCAAAGGTTCTTTTCCATGACATTCTAGAGACACGTGTCATATTTAAAAAAAATGCAAACCTCTGTGAATCTATCAGTGGGGATTCCTTACTCAACAACGCTCAATCTATTTCCCAAAAACAGAACACTTATTCCCACTATCAAATCACTTCAATCTAATCCATCTCCCATGGATCCTCCGAAGAAAGTAGTTGTTTGCGGCGGCGGAGTCATAGGTGTATGCACCGCTTACTTTCTCGCCAAGAAAGGCGCCGCCGTCACACTCATCGAGAAATCCAACATCGCATGCGCCGCTTCCGGCAAAGCCGGCGGATTCCTCGCCTTAGATTGGTGCGACGGAGGTCCTATCGAACAACTTGCTCGCGCAAGCTTCATTCTCCACCGTTCACTCTCTCAAGAGCTTAACGGTTCACAATCGTACGGTTACAGATCGCTCTCAGCTCTCAGCCTCACCGTAACTGAAGAATCAAAGCGTACTTCGAGTTCTAGTTCTACTTCTGACGCGTTGCCGTCTTGGGTTGATGGGCCAGCCCGTGGGCCTAAGACGATTGGGACTAACGAAACTACGGCGCAGGTGCACCCGCAACTCTTTACCCGGACGCTAATTGAGAACGCCGTGGAGAAACACGGTGTGAAAATCGTGATTGGGAAATTGGAGCGGTTGGAGGTGGGTGGAGGAAGAGTTGGATCGGTGGTTCTAGAAGGAGGGTTGGTTGTGGATGCGGATGCTGTGGTTTTGGCATTGGGTCCTTGGTCTAGCAAGCTTGAGTTGTTGTCTTCGAGGTTTAGAGTTTCGGGGCTTAAGGCTCATAGTATTGTTTTGGAGCCTAGAGAACCCAACGCCATAACACCCCATGCTCTTTTTCTCAGCTACAATGCCTCCAATAGAAGAACACCTCTTGACCCTGAAGTATACCCTCGCCCTACAGGTATGAATTTACAATATCCCAATCAAATGCAAGTATTTTACTCATTACCATTCCTATTCTTGATCGAAAAATAGTATAAAATAGTAGGGAAATGTAAAATAGAAATGATATATATTGATAATAACAAAAGAATATGAATTATGTAAGGCTTATATAAAGGAAGAATATTTAGATAAAAATAATATATTTTTCCAGGGGAGGTGTATGTGTGTGGGATGTCAAAGGAGGAAGAAGTACCGGATAATCCAGAGGAGATAAGGGGTGACAAAGAATCCATTGAAATGCTAAAGAGGGTGGCTAAGACTGTGTCAAGCCATCTTGGGGAAGAAGGAGTGAAGGTGGAGCAAGCATGCTTTTTGCCGTGTACTGATGATGGAGTACCGATCATAGGAGAGATTACTGGGGTGAAGGGGTGTTATGTAGCGACCGGACATAGCTGTTGGGGTATTCTAAATGGTCCTGCCACTGGAGCTGCTGTTGCTGAGCTTGTTCTCGATGGTCATTCTACCATTGTTGATCTTGAACATTTTAGTCCTGCTAGATTTGCTGGGCGCGCCAAATCTTAGAATAACTTTAACACCGACACTTGTAATTGATTATCATTAATATATTATAGTAACCACCGCGGATGATACAGTGTGTTTTAGGCTCATGTACATGGGGATATATATACTCTTTTGCAACTTCACTACCAATCAAATAACCTGTCTACTTTCCAATCTTGCATTCTCTTTTAGGGTTGCTCATTTTAACCGGATAAGTGGTTTATCTAGAATCATATCCAAATCCGGTTATAAAAAATGGATATTTTTATGTTTGTATATCAGCCGCCCCATTTCCTACATTTGGATGAGTGACCATAACCAATTGATGGATGACGTTAACCAACAATGATCTACTTTTCATCCTCTGCAATCACTAACGCTACTCCCTGACTGATTTATCATGTAGGTTAATCAAAAACCTACATTTTGATTCTTGATTTACCATTCTCGCTTTGCAATCTTGTTTGTGATTCTTGTTCATGATTTTTGTTTTAATTAACTTTACACTCTTCAATCTTTGCGGTCGATTTCTTGCCCGCGATTCACAACTCACACTTTGCAACTGAGTTTGTTCGAGATTCCCTCCTTCATGCTTCAGATTTTGTGGTTTCTGTAGTGTTCATCATTAGCACCTTTACAAGACACAGTTCAGGTATTCATCTTTCAGATTTCACATTATATTTATGGCTTATGCATGTTTGTTGGGTATATTTTTGAACATTTTTTGTTCTGTTTTGATTTATTTACATGCATGTGGATTGTGGCCAAATCTGTGTTTGATGAGTTTGTTACTTTGTTTCACTAAATTAGTTGGTATGTTTGATGAATTGCTTGATAATGACCTACTTAATCACTTATTAGTTTGTACTTTGTAGGTTTGATGAATTACTTTGTTTTTCTGGCATATCAATCTCAAATTATCAACTCAGAAGAATATGTGCTCTTCAATGAGAGTACTATCCCTTGCAATGTTCTAGAAACTTGAAAGTATTATTTCCTGAATCAAAGCATATAATCCACCGCTTTACTCAACAGGATAAAACACACTGAGGTGTGTCAATTTGTTTTATTTTTTAAAATTTTCTCACTCTTATAATTTGCTAAATAATATGCTATAATGATTGGTAGAAGGAAAGTTACTCTTACCTAAATCAATAACATGAGATAGGGTCTTTTTGAAGCTTTTTTTAAAAGGTCTTTTGATGGCTTTTAACTTTTGATTACAACTGCTTCTTTAGAATGCAGAAATTGCTTCCTTATTTGATGGAATCTTGCTTTGGTAATTGCTTTTGATTACAACTTAACTGTTACGAACCAGAAATGGAATATATAAATGTAATAGTACACACAAACAAACAGAAGGTAAGAGAGCTTTATTATACTGAATAGAAATGAAAACAAGTACAAAAAAGGGAATGTAACCCTAGATCTGACAAGAGCTATGCTCCTAATAGGAAGCTAGAGCCCCCTATACATACTAGTAAATCACTATAATCCAAGATAAGATCTTCTCTCTTTCTCTGATTCCTTATATTGTGGAAACGGAATGCAGGGTGCTCTCTCCATTCAAGCCACGTCATAATTCTTGTAACTAACTAGCCACTAATTCCCTTCTTACCCTTCCTTCTACAATAAACTTTCCAAGTCTGAGGTCCACTTGATTCATTGTAAATCAGCTTCTCACGCGGCAATTCTTTCTCAACTAGTTGGGTCCTATCAATACTCTTTCCTTCCGCAATGGCCTTGTCCTCAAGGCCAAACTTTGGAAATTGGCTTCTGATCATTATCTCGTCCTCCCAAGTTGCCTCTTCTACTGTCTTGCCCTTCCAATGTACCAGGATTTGTCTGATTTCTTCATCTTGTTGTTTCACCTTCCTAGTAGCTAGTACTGCCTCTGGTTCATACACTTCCGTCTGTTCCTCCAATAATTCTGGTAACTCATCCTCTTCATGATAACTTCCCACAACTTTCTTCAATAATGATACATGGAAAACAGGGTGCACTCTGGACCCCTCAGGTAACTTCAGTCTGTATGCCACTGCTACAATCTTCTCAATAATGGGGTAAGGACCGTAGTATCTTGCTGCTAATTTAGCATTAATCCTGGTTACTACCGACTGCTGCCTATGAGCTCTAAGCTTGACAAACACCCACTCCCCACACAAAACTCCTGGCAGTGCGTTTCTTATCAGCTTGACTCTTCATTTTCTCTTGTGCTTTCAACAATTGGTTCCTTAATTGTCGCACAGCCTCGTCTTTGTCCAACAATTCTCTCTGCACAGCTTCTACTCTAGTCTCTCCTTGAGTCCATTGAATTAGTTTTGGAGGTGGTCTCCCATAAACTACTTCAAACGGTGTCCTCTCGGTGGCAGCATGAAAAGTTGTATTGAACCAATATTTGGCCCAGTGTATCCAAGATACCCATGTCCTAGGTTGATCCGCAATGAAGCATCTCAAATAGGTCTCTAAACATCTATTAACCACTTCTGTCTGACCATCCGATTCGGGGTGATATGTGGTACTCATTTTCAGCTTAGTCCCCTGCAGTTTGAACGACTCCCTCCAAAAACTGCTCATAAAAATGGGATCCCTGTCACCCACTATGGAAAGAGGTATGCCATGGAGTTTGACCACCTCCTTGCAAAATACCTCAGCGATACTCATAGCAGTATACGGATGTCGCAGAGGAATAAAATGAGAGTACTTGGACAACCTGTCTACCACCACCAAAATAGCTTCGAAACCTTTTGATTTTGGCAACCCGATTATGAAGTCAATCGATATATCTTCCCAAATTTGATGAGGAATGGGTAGAGGTTGTAACAACCCTCCTGGAGATGAAGCTATGTACTTCTGTCTTTGGCAAATGTCGCACCTTCTCACAAAGTCTTGTACGGTTCCTTTCATGCCTATCCAATACACATTGTTAGCGAGTCTTCTATAAGTCTTGTAGAACCCCGAATGTCCTCCCTGGGGTGTTGAGTGGAATTCCTAACAATGTAGGAATTAACAAGGACTTATTGGAAATCACCAACCTACCCTCATACATCAAGACACCTTGTTTGTACTCATAGCCAGGCCATGCCTCCGCATCCTGTTGAACCTCTGCTATTATTCTCTGCAACCTCTCATCCCGTTGATTTTCTGTTTTAATCTGTTCTTCTTGAAGCCATCTCCATTGGTAGTTCATGGTAGCTAACTCCCCTCCTTCATGAATTCTGGATAAGGCATCTGCTCCCTTGTTCAATTTACCTTGCTTGTACACAATTTCAAAATCATAGCCCAACAATTTAGCAGTCTAGTTTTGTTGTTCTGCAGTTACAATTCTTTGTTGTAGTAGTTGTTCGAGGCTTTTTTGATCAGTTGATACTACAAATTTTCTTCCCAATAAGTATGGTCTCCTGGATTGCTAAAACTACTGCCATCAATTCTTTTTCATATGCAGATTTAGCTAAAATTTTCACACCAAGGGCCTTGCTGTAATAAGCTATTGGATTCTTATCTTGCATCAAGATCGCCCCTATTCCTCCTCCTGATGCGTCACACTCAATCAGAAAACTCTTGGAGAAATCCGGTAAGGCTAACACCGTTGCTGATGTAAGCCTCTCCTTCAACTCTTCAAAGGCTTGTTGAGCTTCTACTCCCCATTTGAAACTATCCTTCTTGGTAAGCTCAGTTAATGGTCTAGCAATTTTTCCATAATCCTTTATGAATTTCCTGTAATATCCTGTGAGTCCTAAGAGCCCTCTCACCCCTTTGACATTCTTAGGTTGTGGCCATTGAATCACCCTGGCCACCTTTCCAGGATCTACAGCTACACCGTACCCTGTGATCAAGTGTCCCAAATACTCCACACTCTGCTGGGCAAAAAAACACTTCTTCTTGTTAGCTACGAGGCTATGATTAGCTAGCAAACTCAACACTTCCTCTAAATGCTTCACATGTGTTTCCCAGCTCTTGCTATAGATAAGGATGTCATCAAAGAAGACCAACACATGTTTCCTCAATAGGGGACGAAAAACATCATTCATTAGGCTTTGGAACGTTGATGGAGCATTCATGAGTCCGAACAACATCACAAGGAACTCATAATGCCCTTCATGTGTTCTGAAAGCCGTTTTGCACACATCAGACTCCTTCACCCTCACTTGGTGGTATCCTGATTTCAAATCCAATTTCGAAAAGAACTTTGCTCCATGCAACTCATCCAACAACTCTTCGATCACCGGTATAGGGAATTTGTCAGGTACAGTGATCTTATTTAAGGCGCGATAATCAATGCACATTCGCCATGTGCAATCCTTCTTCTTCACTAAAATCACCGGGCTTGAGAACGAACTTGTGCTGTGGCGAATGATTCCCGTGGCTAACATCTCCTATACCTGCTTCTCTATTTCGTTCTTGTGATGGTGGGGATAACGGTACGACCTCACGTTTACTGCTCCTTGTCCTTCCACAAGGTTGATTGCATGCTCTTTGTTTCTTTTTGGAGGAAGACTTAACACTGTTTGGAACACTTGATCGTATTTGCGCAATACGTTCTCCAACTCCATTTGCTGCTGGCCAGACAAAGTGTTTTTCTCAGTCTCTTTGGGTTTCGTTTTCTCTACAGTCCACAACAAATCTGACGTATTGGGCCTGGGCTTACTCAATATATTTTGTAAAGTCACTGTTGACTTTTTGTACCCCTCCTGTCCTTTAAGAGTCACCCATTTTTTCTCACTCCAAAAACTCATTGTTTGTTGTTTCCAATTAGTAATAGTATCCCCCAATGTTTAAGCCACTCAATGCCTAAAACCACATTAATTCCCCCTAGTTCAAATAAATGCATTTCTGGGTCTAATCTAAATTCCCCAATACACAACTCCATTCCTCTACATACCCCCTGTGTTGCTATTTGGAGCCCATTTCCCAATTTAATCGTCATTTGAGGTGTAGTATCAACTGGCCGGTCCATTTGATGCACTAATTTCCGAGAAATGAAATTATGTGTTGCCCCACTATCCACCAAAATCAATACC